CTGTTTGTGAACATATCTTTTCCAGTGATGGAAGCTATGATGTATGAAAATGACAAAGGCATAATGAGATACAAAAAACGTCACGTGCCATTAGCCTACAAGATCCTCTGTGGATACAGATGGTTGTATGATGGATTATCTCTGGAGGTGAATCTGTGACACGGCCTCACTGGGGACCCCAGGGTTGGCTTGTGCTTCAGTCCAGCTGCTAAGGGAGAAAGGGTCATTCCCAGCAAGCGATAGGCAACAGGAACACTTCTGACTTGGAAGAACAAATGGTGTCCTCATGCTCAGCAGGCCAAGCAATCCCAGCACATGATGCCCAGCATGCTGTACTTGAATAAAAAGTACATTGTAAAGTAACCCGTCAAGTGCTGCAGCTCAGGAGTCCCTCACTTGCAGAACAGCGAATTGGCTTTTCCCTGCTGGGTGCTGACCCACCCTGGCCTGTGCTGACCCATCCCACCCCATGGAGCAGCCCCAGCTGCCTGGGCTCCCTGTGGGTATTGTGGCTCCATGTGACCCCTTGTCCCTCCACAGCTCGTCAAGAACATGCCCAGTTCCCTGAGCCCTGCCTCTCCTGCAGCCCAGCACCATGGTCCCCCTTACTCCCACACGTGTCACACCCCCAGGAGCTGTGGGGGGCTTCCTGGCCAAACATTCCAAGGCAGGAACCAGGGCATAGTGCAGCTGCTGCAATGCAGCTCTCCACCAGCTCCCACACTCCACAAACATATTCTGCCAGCACAATCCTGCTAATTGGAGTTGGGCTAAATTTAAGTTGTATTTCGTTTCCTTCAAGAGAGAAAACCTTGGCGGAAAAAGAAGAATCACTATCTACAAAGGTACAAAGAATAAGAACAAGGTCCCTTCAGGTTCAGGGAGTGGGGTGGATTTGCTGTATCTCACAGCTCAATAAAACTGTACCAGGACACAGGGAATGGCTGGAGCTGTGTCAGGGGAGGCTCAGGCTGGATACCGGGAAAAGCTTTTCCCCCCAAGAGGGTGCTGGCACTGCCCAGGCTCCCCAGGGAATGGGCACTGCCCCGAGGCTGCCAGAGCTCCAGGAGTATCCGGGCAGTGCTCCCAGGGATGCACATGGTGGGATTGTGGGTGTGTCTGTGCAGAGCCAGGAGCTGGACCAGATGATTCCATTTGGAATACTCTGTGAATTTGTAAAACAAACCAGCAAGGCAGGTGGCAATGCACCAACCCAACTGGGAGAATTTCTGACGGCAATGGAGAAACAGCAACACCCTGCTGAGCATGGTCTGCTGCCAAGTGATTCTTCCCTGGCAAGAAAGTATCCCAAGCCCAGCAGGAGCCAAGGGATGAGTAAGGCACTGGATGGGACGCAGACAGGACTCTTCAGGCAGGCTCCACGGGGTGTCTGGAGCTGACTGGAGCAATGTTGTGCAAACCAACATACTTGAACGGAGCACTACCACAGACTGCCAAAAGGGAAGTCTAAAACCCCTCATATCAAAACTGGTTTTACTCCTGCAGGTCCCAACCCATCATTCAGTGCTGACATGTGACAAAAGAGAAGAAAAGGACACCCTGCTGAGACTTTCGCTGGAAGCAACACACCTATGCATACCCAGCCCCATGCCCAGGAGCCTTGTGACTCCCAGTTCCCTCTTTCCCAAGCAGCTTGGAGCACAGATGATTTTGAAAAATAATCATGTGATCTGCCCATGACTGAGAACCTCACCAAAGAGACCGGACAGCAATGCTTCCTTCCCTCCTTCCCCTCACCTCCAAGGGCCTTCGGGGGAAGGACTGCTTGGCACCTCACGGAGGTGTAAATCCTACGCAGGAAGGGCTCCAGCACTATTTGGACAGCTCAGAGTGTCAGCACAGACCAACTGGAACTGAAAAGCAAACACGCGGGACACTGCCCAGCACTCACAATCCCCACCATGAATCACCAGAAACACAGCAGAGTTTAGGGTGCACTGCTCATCCCTCACACTGTTACTGTAAGCACTTGTTAAATCCTCACCTCCCTCCCTGTAGCTGCTCAGACCCACACAGGACACTCGGGGAAATGACAAGCTGCACCCTCCCCAGGGCAGCAGCACCAGCAGCCTGTTGCTGCACTCCTCCTGCCTTCCCCAGACACCCTTTCCTAGAGAAAAATCTGGGCACAGACATCTCATATCCTTATCTTTACAACTGCAGGTTCTGTCCCACCAGCCTGGGAGGCACCTTCAGCAGGGAGAGCATGTCCTCGGCACAGGCCCATCCCAAGAAGTCCGATAACCACGACAAATGCTCCGCTAGGTCAGGACTGCGAGTGCAGCACGTGGAGCTTTGCAGGATGGCATCCCAGGGCTCCTGCTCCCTAACAACAAACTGGGGCACATTCCTGCTTCACTTTCCTCCTGTGCATCCCATGCCAAATTTATCTTCCTGACAGCGGCTCAGAGGATGCAGAATGAGGGATTACTTGCTGAGCCCACAGAAAGACAAGGTACTGCAGTATGTGAAACATCTCTGTGTTTGTAAATCCCCTCTGGGTACACAGCAAATACATTCTTCTCCTGGCTAAGCAATCTGAGCCAGATGCCTCCGTGTATGGTTTATGAAAACAATGTTACACTTACTGCAGTTTTTGTCCTTATCCCTTTTATTCTCTCCTTCTGCATCCTGCTCACTAAAAATGAGCAGTTTCAGAGATTCATGACTAGAGCATTTGGACTACTCATGTTGTTTCTCAGCAAATTCTTGAAAATTTGTCATCTTGACAAAGCTGGTAACTAAGAAAATTCTTAGCACAGCTCCAGTTTGTTTCAATATTGCATTTTTGAGGCACACACAATGCCTGCTCACTCACTGCAATCACTAGGGACAGTGGCATTTGCTCCTTCAGCCCTGATAAATGTTTTTCAGGACTGGACATTGACCCAACAAAACTAACATGAGGTTAAACAAATCAATGAATGTACTGGGTTCTTTCTCTTCTGAGCTCCCATATTCTAGCTTCTGATTCCAAAGTACCACCAGCAGCTACCAAGCACAGACTTTAGCCAAAGCATGCTCTGAGCTCCTGGAAAAAGCACTTGATGCTCTGATTATGAGAAGCAGCTTCTTTAGTTCACCCCAGGCCCCTTTCAGCAGGTCAGCACTGCAAGAGGCTCCACAACTGAGCTACAGTAATGCTACAGGAGGAGGGAATCTTAACCCCATCCCAGGGATTATGTCACTTGGAATACAGGTCAGGGAGCTGAATCACACAGAAAACAACAATCCTGCTGTTGACATTGAGCCGTGCCCTTGTTGGCAACATTCAAATTGGATCTGCTTTACTGCAGGGAGTTAGGAAATGGTTATTAAAGCTAGGGTGAAAGCAGCTGGTGACTCCTGAGCTGAGGAACCTCATTAGCACAGCCAGTCAGTGCCACTGCAATGTGTGGGGTGGTGGGGAGAGACCAGGACAAGGACAGAGCTGCCACAGACTGTCGAACAAGAACCTCCAGTGGAGTTAAAGCAGTTTAGTTCAGCCCAGGATGCGTCTCTGAATGCTAAATAAACCAGCCCTTGAAGCCAGGGGAAGAAGGCGGCAGAGGGCAGGGAAAAGCTTTGGCCATCGCTGACTTGTGCCTAATGAAAACAGACAGGAGGAGGCCTGGGGATGAAAGGGAATTCCCTTCTTCCCATCAAGGAGCTCAGTCTGTTGGCATGGCTCCTGCCCTCCAAGAGTGCTCCCACAGCATACACATATGGCTCTAGAGCCATCCAGTGCTGTGAATTACCTACTCCTGATGCAGTTCCACATAGGTCACTGTCTGTTCCTGACTCCATCTCTGGTGATTTTCAAGTCCCAGTAAGGATCTCTGCTGGTTCCAGCTGAGCCAATGGGTCTTGCTACAGTTCTGTCTCCATAAGGACAAGCACATACTTTGCACCAGCTGGTAGTGAAACACTTTTATGTCAGGTGAGGGAGTGCACATCACTGTTACCAACCAAATTAACTGGAAAAAGAGCAAGAAATGGCTCCCTGCCCTTTGCCAGCCCTTTTTCAAAAGGCATTTGGATGAACAAGGAGTCTGAAGACTCACTGAAAACAGCTTTAACAGATAAACTCTTTTCCTGCCCCACACATCCTGGCACTTCTCCCTCTGTCAGCACACAAAAGCTGGAAGCTATCAGATGGACAACTCTGGCATAAGAGATCTGCTGCAAAGCCACCCAACAGATCCCATCACTGCTTTCCTGACAGCCTTAAGTCCCAGGCAAACCACCTACAGCCAACAGCTGCTCCAGGCTGTGTTCCCAAATATCCCTGGTGTCCCCAGCATATCTCCCGGTGGGAATGGCTGAGCCTGGGGAGCTGGGACAGCATGCAAGTGCTCTGGCTGCTCCTCAGCCCTGCAGCAACCTGAACTGGAGGTGGCACAGGGAAAGGGCAGGAAACAGCCCGTGAAATCAAAGTTCATCCCTGGAAGAGTGGCAACAATTTTGTCATTTTTTTCTTGGAATGGAGAGGTTTTCTCCTGTGCCTCCCTGAACTGCTGATGGGGAAGGAAAAGGGACCTGGAACAGAGAGGAAAAGTCAGCTGTGAGGAAATACAATATCCAGTTAATTCCTGTAAATCCTGCAAAATCCAAGGAAAAGGCAGATGAAGGATTTACACTGCAAACTGTGCTAGAATCATACAAGCGTACCAAGTTAAGAGAAATGTAAGGGTTTAACATGCCTGTTAATGAATCACTGACATACAAATAAAGCTTATATGCCTGGGAAAAAAAAAATATTTCAAGACTTGAAGAGGCTGAAAACCCATCTGCAGGAGCTGTAGCCACCTTCAGTGCTTCCACATCGAACCATGACGCTTCCCACATCGAAGCACAATGTTTGCTTCTCATTAGCCTCAGTTTCCCTTTCAGCCACAGATTTGTGTCACACATTTGTCCCCCAGCACAACCCTGAACAGCTAAAATCACCCTGACAAATTCCCAAGAGAGGAAGAACTCAGGAGCAGGTTGTTTCTTACCATCATGGCCAGAGTTGAGCAGGTGCTCCCCCAGGTCACAGCCAAACACCCTTTCCTTGAGGATCCCCCGCTGTTTCAGTTTCTGCTTCGTTGGGCGTGACTTCATGAATGTCCGGAGGAAGGTGATAAGCTTCCCGTGCTTCTTTGACACTGCACAAGACAAGGAACAACCACTTCATTCCAGACCTGGCAACCACTAAGCAGAACTCAGCAGAACTTCTACAGAGCACATAAGAACTGTAGTAACATTCATATCAATTATTTACAGGAACAGATTTTCCAAGGTTTGACACTAAACAGAGACTTTTGTTCCAACCCTTGGCTAGTGCAGAGTTACCAGGAGCGAGCTGGAATGGAAGGACTAAACACAAAGACACATTTTTCTGCAGAGTAGCTTCAGGCATGAGTCACCTGAAGGGCTGATGGTGGGCAGCACCAGGAATGGGCAATTTCTGCAATCTCTGGGAAAGGGAATAAGGCTCAACTGAGAAATCTGGTAATCTCCTGTGCAAACCACTGTGTAATCTACACAAAGAAATAAAGCTTTGTGACTGGCCCTCATATTGTGATCTGTGGCCCCTCCAGAACAAAGGGCTGACTATAATCTGAGACTGAGCAGGTGGAGCTCCCTGAGAGCCCAACCTGCCCTCCCAGCACAGCAGGGCCTCACTGCCTCTCACCACACCTGCACAGGCACCACCCCACAGCCTCAGCAACTCCCTTCTCAAGGAGTTTTTATTTTCCAATAAAAACACAGAATCACAGAGTTAATGAGGTTGGAAAAGACCTCCAAGGCTACTGAATCCAACCTGTGACAAATCTCCTCTCTGACACCCTGCCCAGAGCACTGAGCACCACATCCAGGTGTCCCTTGGACACTTCCAGAGATGGGGACTCCACCATCCAGCCCACTGAACAGGTCACAGAGGCAGCTGATTGAAGAGATGCAGTTTATCCTCTCCACAATGAGCACAAGCAGCCTCCAAAGAGAGGAGGATGTGGCTCAGGAGCCACTTCTGCTCTGTCTCTCTGGGTTGTGCTGGGGAAACTCTGGTCCCTCTGCTAAAACCACCTGCCCAGAAGCTGAATCCCAGTGCAAGGCAAAGGAGAGCAGTGGGTGACAGCAGTGACCTGGCCCTGGGAGGAGAGGCCAGCCTCAGGTTGAATGGGAGCAGAACAATGCCCTGGAATGTCAATGTTTCTCCTCAGGCCCTCAGAGCCTCCCCAACAAAAGTGCCATTGTGTACACATTTAAAAGCAGTTTAATTCAACAGAAGAGCTCTACTGAAGAGAAGAAACCGCTGGGTTCAAAGGGCCGTGCTTTGTGAGGAAGCCTTTGCAGCTGGGGCAGTTATAAAGGCTCCTGCAGCAGCAGCAATCACCCTCCCCAGCTCCTCCCTCTCATCCCAGGCAGGAAAGACAAGAACTATATATTCCACCTGCACTAAACCCACAAATACTGCAATCAAATATCAGCAGAGTAACACCTTCCAAAGCAGCAAAGACCCCCGAGGACAAAGGTTCATCCCTTCAGTGTCACCTCTGCTGCCAAATGAAATGTGAACTACAGAGAGCAGCTCTGAAACTGGGACTCAACAAAGCAGAGATGGATGGGCACTGCTTCACTCGAGGGGGGTTCTTCAACCAGGGAACATGGAAAACCTTGTCCCAAGACCGTGGTTATATCACACAGTGCTTCAGGATGCTTTAATCCCTTCACACAGTTGAATATTTCTCCTTCCATTTTACCAGACACTGACACGGGCCCTCTACTGATATATGTAATAAACCTGATAGATTTATTGTCACCTTGAAAATTAAACCTTCTGATAATGTTTTCATAGTTTTAGTTACTTTCCCATTAAAGTCCTATAAACATAAGTTGTTTATCACATTCCTTCTAAGAAACGTCTTTTGATGGACATTTCTCATGACCAGTGTGCTTGGGAAGGTGGTAACTTAATTATCCAATCCCTGGTCATTGTTGAGAATCTATAAATACTGGAATCAGAGAATAAAAGACTTTTTTTTGTTTTAACATCAAAAGTGTTCATGTGAATCATTTCATGTCCTTTCGTGACAATTTATATTTATATTTTAAACCTGATTCCACAGACCTTAACAAATTTGTACCTTTGTACCGATGTGAGGAAAGCAAACTTCTCCTTCTGCACAAAGTCCCCTCTAGCAGTACATCACCAAACTGATCCTCAGCACCACCTGAGTACCCGAAATCCCCAAATCCCCACCAAACCCCACATCTGCATCCTCAGCAATCAAACCCAATTTAACAACCACAGGAGCCTTGAGCATGACAAACTGTGGCTGTGGGGGCTTTAATTAAAGGAGTGTTTGCAGTTTGACAGGGTTTTTTAATTGCATGCAATAAAGGAACAGATTGTGCTGACATGCCAAAGTTAGGATGGGGTTTGGTTGTATCCATCATCACAGGAAAGTAAGGGCTCATTTATCACATCCTATCGGCCCAGCTCAAGGATAAATGGAGACAGTCTCATCCTGACTAGTGTGGAATTTCCAAGGTTAGCACCCTCAGGGCTGCTGTGGTAACACCACTGGAGGTGAGAGACCTGAGACAGATGCTTTCACAACAGGCAAACAGAGCACCTACTAATCCAAATAATGCAATCATTAATATGTGTGTTTTCACTTGAATCATTTCACACTCTGTATACTATGTACCTTTGACTTAATGAAAAATGAGCCCACCAGAGAATGGATTTTAAATAGAGAAAATCACCCAATTCTAGTCCTGAAGAAATTCTACTACTAATGCAGATCAACAAGTGACTTTTGGGTGTCACCTCAGCACTAAAACCAGAAGAAAAAAACCCGCAGTGGATGCACTTCCATTGTCCAAAGATGTACTTGGCTTAGCATTGGCTTCACTGACCAGCAAAGTGACCTTACTTTTTAAAACACAATAAATCTGCTCTGCCTTTAAGCCACTCAGTGCAGGTTAAAATAATTGTCCTGCTTTCTGCACCATTAAGCAGAGTCCCATAAACTCCCTGCCACAGAGAAGTGGTGCAGCAGCCAAGGACTCTGCGTGGGCAGGTTCAGAAATTCCACCAGAAATTCCTTTGTCCCCAGCCTGTGGAAGTGGTTGCATTGCTCCTTGGTCACACAGAGCCTGCTCTGCTCATCCCAGATTACTGCCTGCTTTGCAGAGCCTCTCTGAGGCTGAACCCAGCTCTGAGAGCTGTACCCACGCAGGAATGATTCACTCGGGCTTCTGCTGGGTGGGGGAGAACAAGAGAACAGCAAGAAAATCCAAGCAGTCATCTCACTGCTGACAGGTTATTAAGGAGAACAAGAGCAGGTAGGTGTCTGAGAGGGATGAGCTCTGCTCCTGAGCTGTGGGAGCTGCCTCCTGCAGCAGCAGCAAAGGTGGGAACCCCCACCCTCTGGCATTACCGACCCTCGAACCACCAATGCATCCCGAGGGATTCATTCCTGCTGCATTCTGGTTTAGGCGAATGGCAGCAGCCAGCAGTGCTCTCCTGCTGCAGCACCAACAACTGCTCTGCACCCAGAATTGGTGACTGCAGGAAAACCAGAGGATCAAGGCACACATTTCAGACCTGAAACAAATCTACAAGTGTTACAAACCAAGCAGATGTGGAGAAAACAATTAACCCTTTCCTATCATTATTGTCCCACTAATAAAGCAGGGACATGATAGAGCTGATCCACTCAGAGCTTGTGACTCCACACAAGGTGTTAATAGAAATAAATTTGGGAACCTGCATTACTAACAGACAACTTCAAATGGTTGCTGTGCTTCAAGTTACCAACTGAAAGACAAACCAAACTAAACAAAAATTCCAACATTTATCCATACTACTTTCCACCTCAGACTTAACCACTATAAAACACATTGTTTACCAAGAAACGGAGACTTTCCTAGAAGAAGCAAGGGCTGCTTTTCTTCAGAAAGGCAGATTTGGCTTAATACCCTGGCCTGAAGAAGAAAAGAGAAATTCTCCATCCAGTGGAGTGAGCCTGGCTGCAAAAAACGCCAGAATGAAACCCAACTGAAAAACCCCACCTGAGTCAGGACCACTTCTGAAGTTTTGCTGGCACAAATGTGTCAATTAGGAGCACACAAAAATCTCCCCCCCTTTGCTGTCATAACTGTGCTGGCCAAAGCCTTTACATGGTGGGAAGGGGAGGAAGGAAAAGGAATCCTTGTGCCAGATAGTCCATTGTGGCTTTGGGAAGCTGCCCAGTACCTTCTCCAGGAACATTTTTGGATCAGGCAGCGCTGCTGTTGTTACACCACCAGCATTGCTGGTGCAAGTGAGGCCCCAAACCCCCCTGACATTGGTAAAAGCTATTAAATAACAATCACTTCATTAAAAGCAGGGCTCGTTCACCCTCAGGACATGCTTTCTGAAGCTTTACTGGAGAGCTGTGCCAGCCATCAGCTCTTCATCAGCTTCACACTCTTGGTCAGCACAACTCGCCCTCCTGGAAGCCCACAGGGATCCCTTGGGATTTGTTGAAGACTTCTGAGCCTTCCTCTGAGCTCAGCCCTTGATGGCACTCCTGGTTGTCCTCACACCATGAGCTCAGCCCACACTGGCACTGCTGGGTGTCCCCACATGGTTCCCTGAGGCTGAGCTGAGCCACTGCCGTGACCTGGATTAGGAATAATCTGCTGCCCATGATGCTCTTAGGGCCAGCCCAGGTGAGACAGCCCAGAACTGACCTGCTCCCCCTGGTTCTGATCCCTCCTGTGCCCCATGGATTCATTAGGGATGCAGTTACTTGGGATTCACAGCACAGTCCAAGAACTCCACGTGGCTCAGCCCAAACTCCACAAGTGATGTCTGGCCACAAAATCCTTCCCAAGACAGCTGCAATATTCAATTACAATTGCCCAAAGGGCTGCCAGCAGAAGGAAAGTTAGGACGGCAAAGAGCACTGGCTCCTTCTGATTCCTTGGCTTTGGATCATAGAGACCAAACAGGTAAAACCCTTTTAACAAACAAACACAGCACTACCATGTCCCCAGATTTTTCTGCTCGCAAGAAAAGCCCTGTGAGGCAAAGGCTCGAGAACAAAACACAACCCAGCCAACCCTGCAGCAGGACAGCATCTCCCAGCTGGCTCATCCTGCCTCTTCC